CGTTATCAACAAACCACCTTACAACACAGCTCACGGTATAAAGTTGTATGAACTTTGTCCCACTTAGGCTGGAAACATGCCACTAGGACAGTTTTGAGCTATCTTCGTGTTTCGTTGGATTGTGTAATGAGGACTGTACTGATCTTTCGTCCCAGCTCTGCACCAATTAGTTGAGTTAGTTGGGTTTCCTGTTTAGGGCTAAGCCTTGCCAGTCTTGGTTCTCTCATCTGTAAAAAGGAGGATTGAAATAACTCCCCCACTTATCTCAGGGATGTTTGAAGAGCTTAAAACGAGGGCTCAATGCAGGATGTGACTGTTTAAACACAGTAAATTTCTTTTTGTCTTTTGGGGTTTTTTTTTTTGCGGTACGCAGGCCTCTCACTGTTGTGGCCTCTCCCGTTGCGGAGCACAGGCTCCGGACGCGCAGGCTTAGCGGCCATGGCTCATGGGACCAGCCGCTCTGCAGCATGTGGGATCTTCCCGGACCGGGGCACGAACCCGTGTCCCCTTCATCGGCAGGCGGACTCTCAACCATTGCGCCACCAGGGAAGCCCTCACGGTAAATGTTTAAACAGCAAAAGCCGGCCAGTCCATGGACGCCATCCAAGTGTTCACATATAATAGTGCTCAGAGTCTATTTTGCCTCCTTCCTCATCCATTCATAGGATGGTTACAAGTCCCTGTGGTTTGTACCGGCCCCAAATCTCTTGAATCTCCGCTTATTTCCATTCCCGTTGCCACAGCCAGCTCTGTCAGCCCTCAGTGGATCATTTCAGCAGCCTCATCTGCCCCCACCTTCCCCTACCAGCACAGCCAGCTGGACGATCACTTCCCCTTCATGCTCCTCCTTGGTTCATAAAAAAGCCCAGGCTTCTTAGCTCAATGGTCACAGCTTTGTGGTGTCCGGTCTGGCTTCTTCTTTCTTGTGTTTCTGGTTCTTGGAATGTGGCATGCATATATTCCCATGCTATGTCTGGTAAGCCTGGAGTTCCTGCCCCCGCTCAGCAAGACTGACGTTCCTTCAAGACACCTGCCAACCTCCTGACCTTGTTTGTGTCTCCTGCATTGGAAGGATGCGCTTTTCCTTTGTTCTTATAAGCGTGACCCTTTTATCCCATCACAGCACCTCCATTCTGTGTTTTCCTGTGCTGAGGGTGTCTGCTTACTTGCCTTCCCCATCAAAGCAAGGAACAAGCCCTGTTTCTCCACCTCCATCACCTTGCATCCTGCCTTGCCCTTAGGAGGAGCTCAACGACTATCTGTTTAATGAATGGAAAGGCAGGGCTTCCTGAATTTCACAAACAGCCTGCAGTAAAGGCAGAGGTACAATCTCACATACGTGGATGTTTTAACTTTTCAAAAGCTTACTATGTAATTTCATTTTTTACTAAACTTTAAAATCTTGGAGGGCTCCCAGACTCTTCTTTGCTTATGTGTGAAAGTGTTTGGAAAACGGTGAGCAACTGTGTTCATACCAGGACAAAGGGTAGTCACTGTTGTCTGGAGCACAGATTGCTGGAAGATACTCATTGAGCGAAAACCTTGACCTTTGAATGTCTCAAGTGAGTGAACGGACGCCAGTCTGCTGACCACGTGGAGAGAGGGGAAGGAGAGATAAGGTTGCAGGCCCCAGGTCAACAGGCTGTGGCAGCCACAACTGGCCAGTCTTTAAGGTTAAAAGCAAGGTGGACAGACAGTTGTCTTTCAGCCCTTGGGAAACCTGTGTAAAGCTTGGTGACCTCATGTTCCTTTATATCCTCCAGAGTGTCCTTCTCTCAAGCTGATTTTGACTATTTTTCTCTTTCAAAATTTGACAACACATAATCATGTTAATACCACCTAAGTGAGAAAAAACAGATTTGTTCCCACGTTGCTTATGTTTACCTCCACACACTGCTTCATCCCCAGCACTGCGGCTCTGTTCTTTGCCTGCACAAGAAACAAAATTGTTCTGTTCCGCGGTAGTCTATGTTCATGTAAATATCTAATGCTGTCTTGTCACAACTTAGCAGATGCTGGAAGGTTTGGCAAGCCCTTAGGTGAACTATGTGATGTAACAAATAATTAGTCCCTTTTTTCCCTTTAGAGCTTAAGGAGCCACTAAGACCCCATAAAATGGACAAGACCCATTGATAGATGTCCAGCCCTGCCGAAGGCCCTTGCAGGTCTGGCCTTGTATCACTCTGGGATTAATGTTTGTTGTATCATGTTCTTTGGAAGGAAAATAAAATGAGGAAGAATTTTCTCACATTTGATCAGACTGAACATAATTAAAAAGTGAAATGCTACTGAGTCTGCAAAGAAGTCAATCACTTTAATTGCAAAGAAGATTCCCTGCCTCTGTTAGTAATTGGGCTCTTGGTAATTTAGAATCAGAATCCATGATAGTTTGTGATAAATTGGCTCCTTTTGGGCTAAAGAAGGTAAGTTCTAATTACCCCTGGATTATTCCAGAGTGGGTGGAAAAGCTTGATCAAGGAGATATTGGGAGAGAGCTGGGAAAGCTAGCAGTGAGCAAAGATTTCTTGAATTTCTTTTTAAGAAGCTTAAGAATAAAATAGTTCATTTGTTGTGACAACAAGAACCTGTGGTATTTGAAATCCCAGAGCAAATTGGATTTTCTAAGAAAATAGGGAACTGGGCATATTAGAAAAAAGTCCTATAGTTACGTTACAGAAATTGGCCTTGCTTACTTGTTAGCATACGAGAATATTGACCGCCTTGGGCCTCACTTGGGGAAAAGTATGGAATTCATACTTTGAGTGTTTAAATGTATAAGTAATTGGCACTAAGTTTAAGGCAGTCCAAAATGTTTTATTCAAATGAAAGCATAATTTAAGTTAGTAGAAATGTACTCAGGGTCCTAATGAATGAATATACTGACCCAATCCCTGTTGGTATCCTAGCCTTTGTCTCTCTTCAGATTGCCTAACAATACCTGAAGAATAGGCTGGATTTTAGGCTAATGCACTTATTTTGAATGGTGTGTGTTGATTTTATATATCTATATAGATGTAGATATATAGTTATAGATATAATTTCAAACTTAAAAGCTGTAAGATTAGTACAAAGAACTCTTGTATATGCTTTACCTAGATTCACCAATTATTAATATTTAGCTTTATTTGCTTTGGCATTCACTGTCTCTCCATATACACATGTTTTTTTCTCCTGAACCCCTTAAGGGTAAGGAGACCTTGTGCCCTTTTCCCTGTAAATAGTGATTACTTCCTAAGTGAAACAACATTTTCTTACCAAACCACAGCACAGTGGTCTAAGACAAATTTAACAATGCTACTGTTGACTGATCTACTGTCCATATTCAAATTTTGCCACTTGTTCCAGTAACATCCTTAATGGCTAATGTTTTCAGCCCAGGAACCTGTCTACAATCATGCGTTGCACTTAGTTCTCGTGTCACTTTGGTCTAAATATGAAATAACTCTTCAACCTCTTTGTTCTTCATATTATTGAGAGTTTGTGAAGAGTATAGGCTGGTTGTTGTGTAGAATGATCCTCGGTCTGGGTTTGTCCTCTGTTTCCTCATGGTTGTTTCATGTTATGTGCTTTTGATGGGGTTCCACAGAGGTGACGGTGTGTCTCTCTGTGCATCCTTACAGGAGCCACCTAATGGTCATCTGTCTCATTAGTATCTTGGTTAAGGTGGTGCCCACGAAGTTTCTCCACTGTCAAGTTATTATTTGTCCCTTTGTAGTTAATAAGTAATTTATGGAGAGATATTTTGAGACTCAAAGTATTCTGTTCTTCATCAAACATTTGAATTACATATCTGGTTCATAGAACCGGTAATTCAGGTGGATTTATTTGATGGAGAAGGTGAAGTGATTCTTAATGCTTATTTTCCACTAGTATTTTTACAAGCCATCTCTCTCCCAAAGGAAAAAAAAAATCCTAAAATATAAGCAGCAGAGGTGTGCAGAACAGTTCATTGAGAAGTTAAAAGGCAACCGTTGGAGGATATATATTCCAGGAGCCCTGAGAGTAACAAACATATTTTGAGAATGTGAACAGTATGGGCAAGCGTGCTTTATGGTGAACCAGGGAAGGAGGAAAAGAATCCCCTGATCCATATATAGCGACCAACTTGTAGACTTTTCCTTCCCTGTCTAGTCAACTTTGTTTATTTCTCAATAGTTTTAGAAGTACAGCCCTTTGGCCACACAGACCTTTAATCTAATAACCAGATCATGAACTACAGAGTCTGATTATGCTTTGAAAGATGTGATATATATATATATAACAACCTAAAGTTAAAGTTGCTTCTAATGATTCTAGCCTAGCAGAATAGCCCCCAAGAGAAAACTAAAATCTTGGCTTCCATCTAGCCAGGTGAAAAGCCATAGGCATCCCGAGAAATGAAACTTGAAGTTGAAATGTAAGAAATGTAGGAAGTTACAGGTCATTCTGGGGGAAAAAAATAATGATCTTATCCAGCACAGTAAAAAGCAGACAGAGGCTGAATCATTCTTTCCTGTTCCCTTCCCCCAGTTTAAAACCATAGTTTCTTTAGGTTGAAAGTCCAGGGGTTGAAGCAGAAATCTTTAGGAGTTCTTAGGAAATGACAGGTGAGCAGGTTAATAACCTCAGGTAGCACCTATTCTGCTGTAAAACACACCGGGGAAAATGCTCCTGAATTTCTGATGCATTTAAATCTAGGTCAGTCTAACATATTTTTTAAAGAACTATGTTCAAATTAAGACTCCAGCTGATGTTACCCAGTCGCCTCCCCCATGAAGCCATCCCCAGTTCTCCCAATGGCATATTGTTCAAGATATGGTGTCTTCCATGAGCAAGGTTCTTGTGGATACAGGGGCAAGACATATCAGTTAGGATTTTGTTGGTCACAATAGATAGAAAACTTGGTCCAAACTGGCTAAAGCAAATATATATATATATATATATATATATATATATATATATATATATATATATATATGTTGATGTAACTGAAAAGGCCAACAACAGCCAGCCCAGGAGGTCTGGTTTACTCCAGAGGCCCATGGTGTGTATTCTTTGGAGCCACCTTTCTAGGACTCTGTGCCTTTGTCCTCCTTCATGTCATGCTTCATGATAACCACATTGGTGACATTGCGTCTTCAGAACAGGTCCGTAGCTCTGCTTTCCCCGCCAGAGTGTCCAGCCTCACTCTGCTTGGGCTGCCTTAGGTCAGGTTCTCATTCCTGTGCCAATGAGTAGGACCCGGAGGAAGGGACCTGCTACCTGGCTGGAATGCAGCTCAAACCTGCTACCTGCTACCTGTATTGCTGGAATACAATACATGCTTGGAGCCGGGTAGGTGGCCAATCCCACCTAAACCCTATGGAAGCCTGTGCAGTTTGCCAGATAAGTTCTGCTTTCTGTTGCCCTTATGGAGCTTACAGCTTAATCAGGGAGGCAGACAAACAAATAAGCAAATGGATACAAGATATGAAGTAAAGAACAGAGCTGTGAGACTGTCAGGGGGACACAGTCCAGACAGAGAAGTGGGAAGTGACATTTGAGTTGAGATCCGAATGGTCGAGCAGGAGTTAATCAAGAAAAGAGGTTAGGGAAAGACAAAAGGCAAGTGAGCATTTGGGGGGACATTTATCCCTTTACTTTCTCTTAGGAGAGTTGGTGTGTGATGCTCAAAATATTGAACAACTAGTATGGTACCCTAGAGAGGGCAAAATTACAAGTGGCCAAAGGAGGATGACTACAGGAAAGCACCAGCTCACCGTAGGTGGCCACAGATGAGTGGCCCACTGCTGGGATCTGAGGCCCACAGGGCTAGGGCTGGGGCAAAGACTGTTAACCAACTAGGATGGAAGTAGTAGATAAGTATATAAATAACTGGTATGGCTTGTACCTGCTGGTGCTGGATTTCAAGCCTGAGTGTACCCCATTCTTCTGGGCCTTCTTTCCACTATTTACTGACCACCAAACCTTCCCTATGTGATATTCAATAAACGTTGACTAAACATATAGATGACTATATTGATAGCATGGGAAAATTATCAACATTCATGCCTGATTGATAATTGATAGAAGATTTCGCCGCAGAGCAAATTAGCAAATGCTTCCCTAGATTCCGCAGAGCATCTCAGACGTTGATTTTCAACTAGAGGCTCCTGGGATTTGAATCAGCATCTGCCTGAGGTTTGCAAGTTGAGGGGAATCTCAGCCTGGAGACACATGTTGATTCCACAGTGGAGTGTTGGAAGCCCGCACAGAGTAATAAACTTACAGTTGTGTTTTGTTTGAACCACTTAATACTTATTAACTTAATGGGCACGTTAAAAAAAATCATGAGATGAAGCACTAACATCTTGATTCCTGTCTTTCCTTGAAGGGGGAGAAAATTTGGGCGTGCATATCAGCATGGAGGTTTGTCTGCAGCCAGTAGAGGCTGCCTCTTTAGATGGTATGCTCTAATTTGCCTTTCTTCCACCTTTCTCACTTTTTTCATATTTGTTACATACTTGCCCTTGGGTACCGGGTCTGAAAATAGCAAGATTTAAGCTTTCTATTAGGAAACCATCGCAAGGTAAAAAGAGTACGATGATCCTTGGCATCACCCTTCTGGCCTTTTCCACTGTTTTAACCTCAGCAGCAGGAGCATAAACTTTCCAGCTGTGTGAAGGACTCAGAACTGAGTCAGAGCAGTCCCCAAACCAACTGAAGTTAGTCTGTTAGCTTTGTGCAGGCTGAAAGCTTTAAATAATCATTTCCAGTTGTACCTTCTTGTCATTTCCCTTTAGTGTACAGTTCCCACCTCCAAATTCTTCTCTTACACCCTGAGAGCCTGGCCCAGACCTAACCTAGGAGGCTCCACTTGGGTGAGTAATTGTCATTAGCCTCCTTTTAGTCTCTTAAGCATCTCTCCTGTTTAGGTCTGAAGTCTAGTTCTATATGATTTCAAGTAAAAACTCCCATCCGCAAGCCACTGATCCATTCATCCAACCTTACCTATTTATTTAGCAAAATGGGGAATCATATTGACAAAATCATTATCCTTAAGCAATTTGGAGCCTAGTAGGGAAATTAAAATGTCAACATGCAATTGTCATACTCTGGGACAAGGGCCTATCAGGTAGAGTTGCAGATAAAATACAGGGCACCCGGTTAAACTTGGCATGGTTTATTTGTTAAATCTGATAACCCTACCACCGGGGAAAGTGTTGGGTGCAAGGGAACACACGTGAGGAGGACCAGGGAAGTCTTCCTAGAAGCACTGCCTTTGAGGCCAACACGAGAGGGTTTAAGTCAGAAGAGGTGGAGGATAGGGGAGAGCTCTGTGAAGACAGAGAATAGCATGTGTGAAGGCCCTGACTTGAGAGCCACCCCAGGAAATTCAGGGGCCTGAGGTTCAGGATGTGGGAATGTGGAGGGTGGAGGAGTATGTCAGGGGAGCGGAGACTGGAGACGCGATGAAGTCCTGCCATGGAATGTGGACTGGATCCTAAGCACAACAGGCCAGCCATTGTAGGGCTTGAAGCCGCAGAGTGACGTAAGATACGCATTTGAGAAAAGTCCTTCTGGCTGGAGTGTAGTGACTGATTAGAAGAGGAAGTCTGGAGACAGGAGAAGGCAGAGCGGTGCTTGCTGCAGTAACGATAGTGGGTGATGGCGGTGGCTGTGAGGAAGAGAGAGGAATGGATGAGCTACTTAGAGGATGGATGGGTAGATGTGGGAGATGAGGGAAGAGAAAGGTTGTGTATGAAGATGGTTCCACTCAGTGGGACAGGAGAGGTAGGGAGAAGTGGGTACTGCAGTGCCATTTGCCTGTTTGCCTCAGACTGGCTCCCTGCCTTTCCACTGCTCTGCTCCGTGTCACAGGGCTGATCCTGCAAACCCCATCGCCCAGACTTCCTCGCCAACTCTTTTCCAGGTAGGTTCAGCCAATGGAAAGCATTGGCCGGAGGTTGGAGGGCAGGGGGATGGGAGAAGCCAACGTATTTTTCCCTCGCCCTCTGCTCTCTGTTCGGGCAGCTGCAGCAGGGCTGGTGGCCGCTTTGCTCTGAGTGGCTGCCCCACCAGGAAGCCACTCCCTCTGTGCCTCCAGCTCCTGCCTGGCAGCTGTGGCAACACCACTTCCTTCTTTGCCCCCCAGCCCAGCAGTGGGGTGGGTGTGGTTTTACTCTGCTGTGACTCTCTGGGATGTCTCACCATCCCATTTGGCCTTTTAGCTTTTTCATCACCATATGAAATTTGTCGTATTGAACTGCCTGTCACGGGCTGTTTTTCTGAGTGGACATTCAGTAATACGGACGTGTTGGATTTGAGGTGCCTTATGAGACATTTAAATGGAGACGTTTAACAGGAAGTCGTATATAGATTGAAAGGTGCAGAGAGTGGTCTTAGATGGAGACAGACTTAGCTGGTAATGGAAACTAGGGGAGAGGATGAGGTCCTTCAGGGAGATGGCATAGAGGATGAAGAGCAGAGAGCCTAATACAGAGCCCTGAGAAATACCCCAAGGAAGATCAGCTCAGCAAGAGACTGGGAGGGTGCTGAGAGACAGAAAAGTGTCAGGAGGGTTGGGTGGCGCAGAAACCAAGGGAGGAGGTTTTCAAGACAGAGACATTTGTTTATAAGATGTAACTTACAAGATATAAGATATAACATATAAGTTATATCTTATAACAAGTTATAAGATATAACTCGGCTTGGCGGTCACATAGATAAGGATTGAGAAGTAGTCCCCTGGACTTGTCAATGGAGAAATCATCGGGGGCTTCAAGGAGATCAGTTTCATGAGAGTAGTGGGGCAGAAACCAGATCGCAGTGTAGATGGGAGGGGAGCAAGGGGGGCAAGTCAAGAAATTGATGGCAAAGGGAAAGAAAGGAGGGGTGGATAGAAGGACAGGAGAATAGAATGGAGGAGGGCATTTCCTTGTGGCTCTTTAACTCTGGCTGGGAGGAGTCAACAGAGAAGGAGAGTGTGAAGATGTAGGAAGAGAGGATGGCATCCCGAGCCCAAGGAGGACTGGCCGCTGTCTTCAGCTCCCACCAGCTGGATGTTCCCTTTCTCTAGCTTTACACGTAGGCTGTGGAAGTTGCCCCTTGCCTCCTTGGATCAGCTGCCCTTGATTCGTTCATCATTTTCTTATTTCTCAGCACATCTGGGTCATACATTATGTGAAGACAAATCACTACTGATGGTTAAATTTCTTGAAAAATCCCCCAGGCAGGTACCATTTTGGAGAACTACATATTGTTTCTCAAAAAGCCGAAGTAGGGGCTTCCCTGGTGGCGCAGTGGTTGAGAGTCCGCCTGCCGATGCAGGGGACACGGGTTCGTGCCCCGGTCCGGGAAGATCCCACATGCCGCAGAGC